GGCTCGGGCTGGGGATTCGAACCCGCCACCTTAGGTGTATGTGGCTGGCGCCTTAGCTGCTTGAGCCACAGGCGCCGAGCCAAATTTTGCACTCTTAATAGCCAGAGTGATATTTAGCCTGCCTGTTCTGCTCCAAATACTTCATTTATTTACCACTGTCCTTTGGGTAAGATTTATACATCTTAACTTGGTCTTAAAAAATTCCTCAGTGAATTTTCCTTCTTCCTACTTCCTCAACCTAATACCCCTCTCTTCCCAACAACAAGGGATAGCTACACTGGCTTTCTCAGTTCTTCAAATGCACAAAATGTTACCCACCCATCACACACACACACACGAGTAATATCATCTGCCTGCAATGTTCTCTCATGACCCCTCTATCCACTGTCCCCAATTTCGGTCTTGCAAGTTTCTGGCCATGGTTTAGGCATCAGATAAGTGGTGCATCTCAATAAAGACATTTTGCAGTATTAATTATGTACACCTCACATTTATTTCTCAAAGTATCTTTTTTTCTTTTGTATTTTATTTTGGTCATGTGTAATTTACACATTCATCCCTAAAATTTAAAAATTTTATATTTCTTTGATTGACTGGTTTTCATAAACTAACTGAACAGTGTTTGGTAACTAATATTTTGGAATGTATACACATATACATGGAGATTATTCAGCCTTGAAAACCATTTTCTGTTTGCCACAATATGGATGAAACTGGAGGATATATATAATGTCAGACTGAGTCATATAATGTATAAACATAGAACTAAGAAAGGGAATGTATTTTAAAACATCAATTACTGAGGATGGATGGAGGGAGAGTAATTGGTGGGACCACACCTACAGTGCACTTTATAAGCGTACATGTTAAACTAAGTGTAGAATATAAATGTCTTAACACAATAACTAAGAAGGTGCGGTGCAGGCTATGTTAACCAGTTTGATGAAAATATTTCAGATTGTATATAAGGCCAGCACATTGTACCCATGATTTCATTAGTGTACACAGCTATTATTTAATAATAATAATAAATAAAAACATCAATTACGAACCGAAGCAAATACCTCAATCCCTAAAAGGTAAAAACATTCCAGTACTAATCTCCTCCTACAGCTCTTATGGTCAGTTTCTTTAGACCAGGCCTAAATATGTCTTAAGTTGTTTGGTACTATAGAGCTAAACGTCCTGTAGGTAAGGAAAACGCCTGATATTTTAATCAACTTTAACCTTAGTACATGTAAAAAAAAATAGCCAAAATGTATTTATGGAATGGCTAATAAACAGTTTTCAAAATGTATTATTCTTACAAATAAACTTCTAAAAACAAAAATTTCCCTAGAAAGGCGAAATACTTCCTTTCAAAAAGGGCAAGGTGA